CGGTACCGGTCGTGTAGAGTCACGGCTCTCCGGTTCTCCGGCAGCAGGTAGAAGCGGATCTCCGCGGTTCGGATCAAGCAGCTCCAGATGAACTGCTGACTGAGCGGGTCCAGATTCAGACCGAGCTCGGGCTGTCGACTCCGCAGCCGCAGCCACAGGGTCTGAATGCTGATGCCGTCCAAACCCTCCAGCGCCACCTCGTCCAGAACCGCGTCCAGCGGGTCCATCATCATCATCATCATCATCACCGTCGCCGAACTCAGCTGCGCCGCCGCTTCCGCTGCTGTGAGTGCGCGCCGGAGCACTGCCGCCTGCCGAGCGCCGCCGGTACTGCAGCACTTCACACACACCGCCGCTGTGTTATTAACAATCAACATCACGTGACGAGCGATCATCAGGAACAGAACACTCCACTGACTTCATGAAGAAAACTGACGGTGTTTCGCTAACACTTCTGTTACTACTTACAATTAACTTTAGCATGTATTTAGTATTATTTAAAAAAAATTCTCAATACGCGTTACAAAAAAAAAAACATGAGTTTAAATATATACAAACACATCAAAACATTGTAATTTATTATTATTGAGATACCAGTTTTTGTTAATTATTTGGAATTAGTTTCATTTTATATATATATATATATATATATATTTTTTTTTTTTAATATGAATGTAGTTTTTATTAATTTTATCTAAGTTTTAGTTATTAAACTACATAAAAATGAGAAATGTTGCCTTGACAACTATCCTAAACAAAATTACTATCTATACAAAATAAATCAGAATTTACATGTAATTGATTATTATTTAACTTATTTTATTTCACGTAACAACAAATGTATTTAAAGGTTTAAGTATTAGTTAATAGTAATTAATTTGAATTAAAACAATTTAGACAACTCATATAAAAACAAAACAAAAGCTAAAATAGAAAAAGTATTTTTACCGTAAGATTTAAAAATACATAATGTCTGAGTGTGTTTAATAGCAGCTGCAAGTGATTTCCACAATTTAAGAACATTATGATACAAAAGAAACAAGGATATCTATACTAATAATGTTAGGCTCCAAAACAAAACAGTTTTGGTTAAACTATCATGATGACTGAGTTTGAAGGGTTTCTTTCTCTTTCGTCCTCTCGAACCAAGTCCATTGCTGAGACACTGATGCAGTGCTGCATTTCTCCAGATCTGATGAAGAAACTAACTCATCCTGATCTCGGATGATCTGAGGTTGAGCACATTTTCAGCAGATTTTCCTAATTATTTCAGGTGAATCTGCAGTGGATGTGGATCAGCAGATGAAGACTGACTGGTGTGTGTGTGTGTGTGTGTGTGCAGGACTCGTCTCGATGCTCCTCGTGTCAGGTGTGTCCTGCCGTGTGCTGATGTCTGTCTGCGTAACGCAGTCACTTTCTGGCATCTTTAGTGAATGGCATGAGGACAATGCAGCAGTGTTCCAGTTATGATCATCTGATTAAACGCTGCCAGGTAATCATTTTTGGTGCAAAAACACTTTGCTAACTTCATAATATGCACTTTAAGCAGCACACAGTAAACACACGTTGCAGTAACTCACTGCGTGTCTCAGCGCTGGAGGGCTTTGAGTTTGTGTTTGCATCTGCAGCTCCTGCAAACGTCTCATCAGCTCAGCTGCAAAGGTGTGTGGCGTCATCTTCACCC